GGGTGGAGAGGGAGGTGGGAGGGGGGACCGGGATGGGGAATACATGTAAATCCATGGCTAATTCATTTCAATGTATGACAAAAACTACTGTAATGATGTGAAGTAATTAGCCTATTAAAAAAAAAAAAGACTTCCTTATCTCTCCTAGCTATTCCTTGGAACTCTGCATTCAGATGGGTAAATCTGCCTTCCTCCTTTGCCTTTTGTGTTTCCTCTTTTCTCAGCTATTTGTAAGGTCTCCTTAGACAACCATTTTGCCTTGTTGCATTTCTTTTCTTGGTAGTGGTTTGGTCACCTCCTCCTGTACAATGTTGCAAATCTCCACCCATAGTTCTTCAGGCACTCTGTCTATCATGTCTAATCCCTTGAATCTTTTTGTCACTTCCATTGTATAATCATAACGGATTTCATTTAGGTCATACCATAATGGCCTAGTGGTTTTCCCTTCTATTGGAGGGAGCACAGTCCCACTTTTACCAAAAGGGTATTTGTAGGGGCAGCTGCTCTCATGTCAAAGCCAATAATCAGGTCAGGTTGGTGAAAAGGAAAGTTTGTCTGATTTCAGATTCCAGCAACTGGGCTGTTGGGGTGACACACATCAATCCAAAGCCCGACCCCCACTCCACTTCAACCAGTGGGGCAAGAGCCCTTATAGACAGAAGTGACAGGGGTGCTATATGCAGAAACAGCACAGTCAGCTTTGACAGTCATCTTCAAATTGGTCATCAGTGGTCTGACCCGTGCCATCTGGATTGTTTTATGTACATTATCCTTCAGTTCCAAGACCCACTTGTTTGTATTTCTTGAGGCCAGTACTCAGAACTGTGGCAGCTTTTGTCAGATATATTCTGCCCATCATGTGGTTAACTTCTCCACCTGGTGTTCTAGTATCTATAAGGCAGCTCACAGGATATGGTTCAGAATATTATCTATAGCCCTTGAGAAAGAGCTGAAGGTCCTTGATTATGCTTAATGACCTCACAGTTATTATTCAGTCTCCTCTGACCCTTTTCCCTTGTGTCTACATTTTTCAATTCTCTGATTAAACTTGTTCTTTGAAGTTTTCCACAAAGAGCAGGGAAAGGACATGGTACAGGGGTAAGGAACAAAGGAGTCTGCTTCATTTCACCACCCATCAGCAGAAAACTTGGTTAAAGATTGACCAAGCATTGCCTTGCCCACCAAAGAAATACTTTCCCCACAGTCAGTCCCTCCCATCAGGAAACTTGCACAAGCCTCTTATCCTCATCCATCAGAGGGCAACAAAGAAGAAGCACGAATTTCAATTCTATGGCCTTCAGAATGAAACCTACAATCACAGAAAACTAAATAATATGATCACGCGGATCACAGCCTTGTGTAGCTCATGAAACTATCAGTCATGCCATGCAGGCCACCCAAGATGGATAAAGCATGATGGAGAGATTTGATGATGGAGAAGGAGTGGTCAGCCACTTCAACATTCCTGCCTTGAGAACCCCATAAACAGTATTAAAAGGCAAAAGTATATCATACTGAAGGATGAGACCCCCCCAGGTTGGTAGGTGTCCAATGTGCTACTAGAAAAGAGTGGAGAAATAGCTCTAAAAGGAATGAAGAGGCAGAGCCAAAGCAGAAACAACACCCAATTGTGGATGTGTCTAGTGGTGGAAGTAAAATCTGATGCTGTAAAGAATAATATTGCATAGGAACCTGGAATGTTAGGTCTCTGAAAAGAGGTAAATTGGGTGTGGTCAAACAGGAGATGGCAAGAGTCAGCATGGATATTTTAGAAATCAGTGAACTAAAATGGATGGGAATTACTGAAATTAATTCAGATGACCATTATATCTCCTGTGGGCAAGAATCCCTTAGAAGAAAGGGAGTAGCCCTCATAGTCAACAAAAGAGTCTGAAATGCAGTATACTTGGGTGCAATCTCAAAGTTGACAGAATGATCTCAGTTCACTTCCATGGCAAACCATTCAACATCACTGTATTTCAAGTCCATGTCCCAAGCACAAAGGCCAGAGAAGCTGAAGTTGACTGGTTCTCTGAAGGCCTAAGAGACCTTCAAAATCTCACACCAAAAAAAAAAGATGTCCTTTACATGAGGGGACTGGAATACAAAAGTAGAAAGTCAAGAGATACCTGAACTAACAGGGAAGTTTAGCCTTGGAGTACAAATGAAGCAGGGCAAAAGCTAACAGAATTTTGTCAAGAGAATGCTCTGCTTTTAGCAAACATCCTCTTCCAACAACCCAAGACCTGTTCTCTAGGAGTTGGAAAAGACAACCAAATGGATTTCCTGCTACAACCTCCAGAAATGAATACAGGCCTGCTGGCACTTTAATTATCCCATTGAACTGGATTTTGAATTCCTGACCTCGGGATATGTAAACTAATACACTTGTGTTGTTTCAAGGCACAAAGTGCTTGGTTATTTGGTGTAGCAGCAGCAGTAAGTAATATGGACATGGTTCAAATCAGCCCATCTCCGTCTGTGGCATCATAGGTTTTCCTCTCTCTGCTGGACTGTTCCTCTGACCTCAGAGGCTGGCGGTCCTCTGCAGGGTACCCAAACAGTGTACTTGTCTATTAATTACACTTTCTTCTTCAGCAACTGTCCAATTCCATCATCCTCATTACAGCAAAGTCTTTGAAAGCTGTGTCTACTCTGTTTCTCACTGATTTCTTAACACCACTTCTTAAACCCAGTCTACTCAGGTTTTGCCTTCACCACTCTTATCAAAGTTGCACTTGACTTTGCCAAGGTTAACTGCCCAATCCAATGGTCAGGTTCAGTCTTCTCTTACTTGTCCCCTTGCAAGAATTGGATTCTTTTCTTCTCCAATCATTTACTTCATGTGCTTTCTAAAAACAGTCCTCCTACCTCACTAACCTCTTCTTCTCTGCCTCTTCTGCTGGTTCCTCCACATTTTTTTTTTTTAAGACAAAACTAACTTCCCAATGCTGGGTTCTCATGAAGCTTGATGTCCCTGTCTACAGTCACTCGATGTATACCATATTATCTCAGATTTTCTAGTTTCATGACTTGAAGTGGCAACTAAATTTGAGAAACCACAAATATAAATATTTTAGCTAAACTTTTTCTCTGATAGACTTCTATGTCCAACAGTATGCATGCATCTTCACTTGGGTACCTAAAGCCATCTCAAAGATACATGTCTATAATTGAGCTCCTAATCTTCCCACAAAAATGTGCTCCCCCACATTGTCTCCATCTGAGAAAATGGCATCTCCTTTTCCTATCCCTTAAGCACAAATGTTGGGAATCAGCATTGATTCCACTTTTCCTTTCACTTTACGTCCAATATGTTAGACAATCTAGCTGATGCAGCGCTTAAAATGTATCCCTATTTTAAAAACTTTGACCACACTTACTGTTCCTTCTGTGGTCCAAGCCAACTTACTTTGAAGTCTTTATTGTTTCATAAACTGTTTTTTTTTTTTTTTAAAGGAAAGGCAAACTTTCAAACATTCAGACACTTCATTTAAGCACCTCCACCAAATACAAAAATCCTCTTCATAGTCCTAGAAGCAAGTAATTCTCAAAGAACCACGGTGAGAAATGAGAGTCAATATTCTTCAGAAAATGGATAGCCAGGATGACCAATGCCACTGAAAGAGAGGAGGAGGATTAACTTATTAAATCTGTCATGTTGTCAAAAACTACTACTCAATAGATGCAGTCAGGATATATTTGTCTAAATATATAAACACATCCCTCGTTATCCCCCGACAAGCACACATGCAGGTGCCTGGTCCATATGTACACAGCACCTGCACATCCAGTCCCAACATTCACATGTAATATTCATGCCACAGTGATAGGTAGTTTGACTCAGGTTACAATTTATATGAGAGCACAAGACTTAGGGCTAACTGTGGAGGTCATTTCAGGCACAGGTAGAAATTCTTCAGTCCCTAATTGATGAAAAATTGCACAGTGAACAAATTAGCTGCCCTTTTCCACACATCCATGGATAAGCAAATACTGAGCACTCCAAAAATACAGAGCACCTCCATAAAGGAATTTGTCATCTAAAGGAGAGCTACCATGTGCACTTGAATAATCATACAGTTCAAAGTGAGATTATTACCTTTTTAATTTATAAGGTAGTCAAACACTGGTTATGCAGTAATTACTGTTACTGTTGTTTTGTGTTTTTTGTTTGTTTGTTTGTTTCATTTTTCCCATGTTTCACTTTTTTTTTCAAAATTTGACTTTTTCAGTTTGATTCATTAAAGAATACATTCTAAGCAATTCCAAGTACCAGGAACCTGGCTAATGACCCGAGTGCACAAAGATAAATAAGTCTAGCCATTCAGAGCCTAATGAAGGAAAATATACAATTATACTTAAAAACTGTTAAGTACAAAAAAGTAATTATCCTTTTTTTCAATTATCATACCTTTTATCAGAAGCATGATAACTATAAAAGCAGTAGGGAGAGTTTTGAAATCTTTAACTGGAAACAAAATTTTATTTCTCCAATAATTGGTATTCCCTTCTCTCTAAACTCCCTTCCAACATCTCCCTGGTTGATTAGCCCTCTGTCCCTTCAGTCCTGACATCTTCCTGCAGTAATTAGGCAGGAATTCAGTGTTAGTAACTAAGTCAAAGTCAAGAGGGTAGGGGCTTCCCAGGGGATGGACTTCTGCTGGACAAAGGCTAAACTGCAGTGTCTTGACTCAAGAAACCAGAGAGACCCAGATGATCTTACCTGAGTGTGTCCTGCTAAGCAGTCACTCACTGGAGGGTCATTTAAGCTCAAGATCTACTTGTAATTCAGTTTTGTGAGATAACAAGGATGAGGCCATGAGAGTTGTAATAGGGAAGAAAGGGCAGTGAATAGTTTGATTTGTAGGAAACGGATAGTGTCTTGGCGAAGAAATGCCCATTAGGGAGAATGTCCACCAAACACTTAGGGGACAGGGTGGTGCAGGCCCATGTGACATCGTAGCACTGATGGATGTTGGCCTTTCTAGGACCCTCCTCCATAAAAAACACCTACATATACACCATGGAATATTACTCAGCCATTAAAAAGAACTCATTTGAATCAGTTCTAATGAGATGGATGAAACTGGAGCCCATTATACAGAGCGAAGTAAGCCAGAAAGATAAAGACCATTACAGTATACTAACACATATATATGGAATTTAGAAAGATAGTAACGATAACCCTATATGCAAAACAGAAAAAGAGACTCAGATGTATAGAACAGACTTGTGGACTCTGTGGGAGAAGGCGAGGGTGGGATGTTTCAAGAGAACAGCATCGAAACATGTATATTATCTAGGGTGAAACAGATCACCAGCCCAGGTTGGATGCATGAGACAAGTGCTCAGGCCTGGTGCACTGGGAAGACCCAGAAGGATCGGGTGGAGAGGGAGGTGGGAGGGGGGGACCGGGATGGGGAATACATGTAAATCCATGGCTAATCCATTTCAATGTATGACAAAAACCACTGCAATGTTGTAAAGTAATTAGCCTCCAACTAATAAAAATAAATGGAAAAAAAAAAACCACCTACAATACATTTTATAGTTGTGTTGGGGTTAACATGATTGCAGGTAAAGGATCCACCTGCAAAACAGGAGACAGGGCTTTGATCCCTGAATCAGCAAGATCCCCTGGAGAAGGAAATGGCAACTCACTTCAGTATTCTTGCCTGGAAAATCCCAGGAACAGAGGAGCCTGATGGGCTACAGTCCATGGGGTACCAAGAGTTGGAAATGACTGAGTGACTAAACAACAACAACAAAACTTGAATGCAATTAATGATGGACATAGAAAGAAATAGAGATAGAACATGTTCATAGGACCCTGAAAGGATACAGGGCTGCAGGCACTCTGGGTTTCCTGGGTCCCTCAGCGTTGAGAGGAGGTACACCATGCACAGGGGTTAGGGGTACAAAGTAGTGAATTCACCACAATGTCAACTCAGGGGATTTTATTGATGGGCTGGCCTGGGCCCCATCACATTTCTCTTGGTCAGAGACAGAGCACTAGAGGAAACCTCTGGTCTGAGGTCTGCAGGAAGCCGCTGGTTTACTCCTACCCTGGAAATCAGCACTGTTTTCCTAGAATTAAGCTTTTAAAAAGCTAAGTTTTCCTGCTGACCTGCCTGCTACAGAAAATGGTTTTTGTGGGAAACATTGGCAAGTCACTTACAGTTGAAATTCATAATATCTTATATTTCTGTTGAGGCCATCGATTGCTTTCATGTCTTCTGGAGTCAGTTCAAAGTCAAACACCTGGAAGGAAAGAAGAATAACATTACCTCTCCCCCACGAAGTTGGCCTCCCCGTGGGGACTGGAGGACTTTCCAACTGGATGGAGACAAGAAGAGGGGACAGGGAAGCCGTGTCTGTCCTCAGTTTCCAGATGAACAAGGCTGGGAGCCTCTGCTGAGTTCTCACCTCTCCTTCCCACACCTTCTCCTTCTCTGTCCACCTCACAAACATTACAGCACACCAGTCGCTTATCTTTTTAAGTGAATTACTTGAGGCAAAAAATCTAAAATCGTTCTTTTCCAAACACACTGATTTTAGACACTCCTGACTCAATACCTGAAACTGACTTGACATTAGACTGATTGCCTCTCCCCAACACGCCCCAAGTGTGACATCATTCAGCTGAGACAATGTGGAAAGCAGGCTCCCCTGAGAAAACCTGTTCAGGAATCTGATATCAAACTACTCATTATCTATGATTGGATCTAAAAAAGCTTTATGTATATACCTTCCTGGAGAAAGTTATGAGAAGTGTTTAAGCATTAATGAACAACAAATTATTAAAAATTCACATCATAACAATGAAATGGAAAGCTAAATTTTGTAAAGAGCTTCATTTTCTCCAAAGAGATCTCATTTCAATGCAGCAAGAATCAAAGACTTAAACACATATTCTGTTGTGGAAGTTGGTATGGTGATCAGTTCAGTTCAGTTCATTCACTCATTCGTGTCCGACTCTTTGCTACCCCATGAATCGCAGCATGCCAGGCCTCCCTGTCCATCACCAACTCCTGGAGTTTAATCAAACTCATGTCCATCGAGTCGGTGATGCCATCCAGCCATCTCATGCTCTGTCAGCCCCTTCTCCTCCTGCCCCCAATCCCTCCCAGCATCAGGGTCTTTTCCAATGAGTCAACTCTTCACATGAGGTGGCCAAAGGATTGTAGTTTCAGCTTCAGAATCAGTCCTTCCAAAGAACACCCAGGAATGATCTCCTTTAGGATAGACTGGTTGGATCTCCTTGCAGTCCAAGGGACTTTCAAGAGTCTTCTCCAAAACCACAGTTCAAAAGCATCAATTTGTTGGTGCTCAGCTTTCTCCACAGTCCAACTCTCACATCCATACATGACCACTGGAAAAATCATAGCCTTGACTAGATGGGCTTCGTTGGCAAAGTAATGTCTCTGCTTTTTAATATGCTATCTAGGTGGGTCATAACTTTCCTTCCAAGGAGTAAGCATATTTTAATTTCATGGCTGCAATCACCATCTGAAGTGATTTTGGAGCCCCCCAAAAATAAAGTCAGCCACTGTTTCCCCATCTATTTCCCACGAAGTGATGGGACCCGACACGATGATCTTAGTTTTCTGAATGTTGAGCTTTAAGCAAACTTTTTCACTCTCCTCTTTCACTTTCATCAAGAGACTTTTTAGTTACTCTTCACTGTCTGCTATAAGGGTGGTGTCATCTACATATCTGAGGCTATTTATATTTCTCCTGGCAATCTTGATTCCAGCTTGTGCTTCTTCCACCCTAGCATTTCTCATGATGTACTCTACATAGAAGTTAAATAAGTTGGGTGACAACATACAGCCTTGATGTACTCCTTTTCCTATTTGGTGATACTGAATTTTAAATAAGAAAAAAGCTAGTCAAAAGTAGTCAAGACATCCTTAAAATAGAAGAATGTACCATACTGAAAAGTAAAACTTATTTTTTACTTTAGTAACACAGTACAGAAATAGTTAAATAGAAAAGAGTGGGAAGAAATGTACTTATGGACACTTGATATGTGACAGAGTTGACAATGAAAATGTGGAAAACATGGACAGTTGTTTTTGTTATTCAGTCACTTAGTTTGTCCAATGCTTTCTGACCCCAAAGGAAGAGATTTTTTCCCCACTCACTGACTTAGAATCAGATCACTGTGCTGAAAAGAAGACTAGGTTAGTTGCCTTATTCTAGCCAATAAAAAACTGTGCAGAGAAGTCTTCAGGCTCCCCTGACAAGAGCCACATCCACCTGCTAAAGCAGAACTGCCAAGCTCCTCAGCACTGAACTGCAAATGCACAAAAGAGCCCAGCCTAGAGGCCAACAGCTTAGCTGAGTGCAGGCTGATTTTCAAACCACAGATTCAGAATTAAATAAGTGAATTCTGCATTAAATCCTGAAACTGGGGAGAGTTTCCTATACAGTTATGGGTACAATAATGGTTTCCTACAAATAAATCAAAAGAGAAACAACCTAGCTAAAGTGTACAAAGTCTTGAAGAGGAACTTCACAAAGACAGAAACTCAAAAAGATTAAATGTATGAAGATGAAAACCTATTATTATTCAGGGAAATACAAAATAAAACCACAAGGATTTGGAAGTTAAAGATCGCTGCCATAATTTTTGTGCCCCCAAATTCACATGTTATGCTGTTAAAAATGGAGTCTTTGAGGGAGGAGTAGATCATGATGGCAAAGCCCTCATGAATGAGATTTCAATTATATCACATTCATATAAGAGACTTGGCAGTGCTCTGTTTCCCCTCCAACACGTAAAGATACAAGGAGAAGCCTGTGACCTGGAGGAGAGCCCTCACCCAACCACGTGGGTACCCTGATCTCAGATCTACAGCTTCACAACTGTAAGAAACAAATTTAATTTTTTTCACAGCCACTCAGCCTGTGGTATTTTGTTAGAGCAGTTCAAACTGTCTAAGAAAAATCACATGATGCAATTTTATCAATTGAGAACAGAGCAACTAAGATATTTTCCTTAGGAACCCTCCGCCCACAGCCTTACTCATCACCTGTATGTTCTCTTTGATCCACTTCTTGTTGTTACCCTTGGCCAGAACCACAACCCCACGTTGTATCTGGTAGCGAAGGGCAACAAGAGCTGCCGTTTTCTTGTGCTTTTGGGCAATGGCAGAGAGAACTGGATCCTCCAGGAGAACGGGGTGGTTCAGATTCACCCTGGAAGGAATTTCAGAAATGCTGAGGAGCTGAGACTATGCAGTTTCTAAGGAGGCTTCTCAAACAGACCAATTAGGTCCACTCTAGACCAGTGCTTCCCAAAGTGTGGTCCAGGGACCGACAGCCTCAGCATTACTTGGGATCTTATTAGAAATACAAATTCCATGGCTGAGCTGAAGACAAACTGAGTCAGAACCTCAACTGTGTCACTTCCCATTCTGTGTTTACAGAGCTCTGCAGGTGATTTAGATGCATTATTGAGTTGAGACCAGAATGCCAAATTGTGGGTTATTTTCTTTAATTCTCAGGGGTTGTTTTTCTTCTACAATCAAGGGCATGAATAGAGAAACAGTAGGGAGAGCCCAGGAATTCTTTTTAAATTTCACTTTTTAAGGTATTGATAAAAATTGAGTAGTCTCAAAAATAAGAGGCCTTTATTTCATCATTATTTTTCTATATATGTTCACAGAAATACTTCAAATTGAAATTTTTCTATCATGATATACCGAGCAGTTACATATTATTATCCCAATTTTAGATATAAGGTAAGTGAGGCTTGCAACATCTCTTTTTACAAATGTGTTCATTAATTAATAGTTAATAAGTAAATCATGACATCAGCTTGTGTCTCTGGTCTCAACTGAGAGATTATATATAGATTTCAATGCAGACATTTGTTGTTGATGAGTCTACAAGATAATACAATGTAGAAAAATTGTCTGGGTGATGGGAAAATAAAAGAGGAGGATTCATTTCATCCCACCCCTCTCTCCCCTCTGCCTATGAGAGTTATCTGAGTACTGTGTTATCAAAAATGGAATTTCAGGGAAACTCCCAGTTGTCTTCATTAGGATTCAGTACCATTCTTTTACTCGCTGGGATCCCAGAGCAGCATAGGCAACAAGAACAATTTCATGTGACTTGCAGAAATCCAACAGTTTGCTCTGATTCAGATAAGGGTGACATTCCACCTGTGGAATGCCCAAAGAGAAGAGTGTCAGATTATATGCAAAGGCAATATTAATATGACAGAGAAAGACTAAAAGTTTTTAAAGGCTAAAGGAAAGACTAGAACATTAAATGAAAACTGGAAATGTCAACAGCAACAGAAAAACAGAGAAAAGTATATTTACACAGGTATTTTATAATAGACATGGATGGGAGAACCAGTCTAAGATTGAATAATCAAAAGCTGTGCTCTACATTTGAGTAGATATTCCTGAGTAAATATTTCATAAATTACTAGTATCACCTTGAGCCTTTAACTTCACCCTCTAACTTTGATGATTTTCAGCACCTCCAACACATTTTTCTTAACTGTGCTCCTTGTTTAAGACTCATAAATGCTGAGACAACAACACCAAGAATTCAGACATCAGAACCCCACACAAACCCTTAAAATCCATCTCAGCTATTTTGACTCTTTATTAATTTACTTCTGATTCCATGTTTTCATCATTTTCCTTCCTGCATGCAGTTCTCTTCAGGGCACTTTTCACTCTATCTGCTCCTCCCTTCATCTCAGGAAAATGACTCCTTCCTCTAGTTCTGGGTTCTACCCACAGTTCAGAAGGAGGGCATCCCACCTTTTCCACCCACCCTGTCAAACAGAGATACTGCTATGGATTCTATTCACACCATCCAGAGAGGCTCTGCTTTCTAGAATCCTCTGACCCACAAAGGTCAGTTGAACAGTGGGGGAGGACAGATGGACATCTGGCTCCAGTGCAAGAAAGAGGTTCTGAAGAGCAAGAGGGAGAGGACCCAAGCTGCTCACCTGATTGCAGACGGGTTTGTACTTGAGCCCCGGCTTGTTCAGGATCTTCTCCAGCTGCTTGTGGTTGAAGTTGGACACCCCAATGGACTTGGTCAGCCCTGCATCTTTACACCTCTCCAGGGCCTGGGAGGGAGGGGTGGTGAACAATTACATGGAATGATAGAACAAGAATGAATGCTTCAAACCATCAGTAATCACACTCATTCATCAAAATTACCCTTGACTATCAAGAACAATCAGGAAGAAGGTCACAATATAAAAAGAATTATGGTCCCCTCCTTAGAAAAACCCCAAAAAAGACATATCACATGAAAGGAAAGAGATGCCTCTCTAACTGCCCCATATTCTCCTCCTTTGTTCCTCTCTATGAACATTTCAGCAGTGGTTTCCTCCCCACATCCCCAGCATCCCAGACCTTGGATTCTTGAACTGCTGAGTCTGATGGTCCATAGCCCATTCTCACACGTGGAAGAAAGGAAGGAGGTTCCCCCTCTCCTGGCCCGTCCCCTGGTTCTCTCCTCCCTGGACTCACCTCCCACGTGTGACAGAGATCCACTGAGTCAAATATCAGTTTTCCATTTTCATCTTTTGGAAATAATTCCTTCCCTGGCTGGAATGGAAGCAGTCATTTTAGAGATGTCACAAAATAATTTCTCTGCATTTAGCCAGGCTTCCAGTCACCAGGGATTAAACCTCCATCAGGTAGGTTTATAACTTTCTAGATACTATTTGCAATGTGATTTGCATATATAGAGTTGTCAGCAATGTCTTTAATAAGGAGACCTATTCTAATCTCTTACATTCAATATATGTTGTAATAAATACAATCTTTCTAGGTCATAAAAGGGACACACAGTGACTTCTCTGAATTTTCTCTGTTCCTTGTACTTACCTATTTTGAAATTCCTTTCCGTGCTGGGAATGGCAGTAAGTTACATGACATAATTTCCAGAATAAAAATGTCAGTCTTGACCTGGGATAGATTTCAGATTTCCTTTTATCTCTGAACATCAGATACCCTAGGGCAGGCATGTGAACCAGCAAGGCTCTTTTTAGGTTGATATGGAATGTGGACAATCCAGACATGCTCTCAAATGTTCATGGCCATGATGAGCTTTAGGCTGCCCCAAGGCCATATTTGCAACTAATTAAAAATGTTCAGTAAAAATAAAGCAAACCATGAGTTGTGCCATAATAAAGGATAGAAAAAAGAAGTCATTTCTGAAGAGTACTGCAGCCCTCAATTCTGCCTGTGGCTGGGATTTGCCATCTACATGGTCCATGAAACTATTTTTGATTCAAATGGCCTGAGTTTATTTCTGTGACTTGAAATCAAGAGTTCAAAGTAATAATTTTCTTAATGGCTAAGTGCAGTCCACAATTGTCATCCTGAAGACAAGGGAGAGCATAGGCAAGGTCTCCCAAGTCCCTATAAATGTATGAGGTTTAGATGCACCCCAGAGGGAGTGCCACCAAATCTGCCCACCTAGAAGGGTGAAAGACAAGATAAAATCATATTCAATGTAGGGCAGTGACATGCTCATCAAGGCTGCACCAAACTCTTGGTTCATGAAATCCCCAGACACTCAGGAGTTATAAGCAGGACTATGTGCAGAACTGTCTTATTTTATTTCCTTTAATTTTTCAGGCAGAGCCTCAGATTATTAACTCCTTTCTCAGGGAGACATGTAGGGATTCAAAGAAACTCAGTAAAAAATGATCACAAATGATTACTTGGGGGATTCTACTCTAGTGTGATCATCCCTTCAACCTACTAAGACAAATCTTAATTCAACCATTCATGCAAGTTGATGAACATTCTAACACAAGATATAACATTGATGTGATCACACAAATTTCTAACCTTCAGAGCCAGTGGATAATGAATAATATAGAGATCAACATAGTCCAGTTGAAGACTTTTCAGTGACTTTTCCAAGGCTGGTAGGACCAACTCTGGTCGAAAGGAAGTGCACCAAAGCTGTAGAGGTTAAAGAATAAAAATAGTATTAATAATACTTTAGGTAATTTTTTTTGGCCATACCATGTGCAGGCTCGTCTTTGATCTCACAAGATGAAGGGATGTCTGAATCCCCTGTGGAGACCCTAAAGAATGCCCTAGTTCCCTGCCTCATCACGGCAGGAGGCCTCACATCCCTTGACAACTCGAGAGCAGCGTGGATTTCAATGCTTCAAGAGGAGACGATGCCTGCCTCCTCTTGAAAATTGATAGAAATCCCAATATCCCTGTGGCCAATGGAATGGCACACTGGGTCTCTCGCCTCACCACCAAAGGCATCCGTATTGCCCTGCCAAGCCTCGAGGAGAATCCCGAGGTGTCCTTCCAACTAAACGGGAGACCTGAGGTCACTGAACCAACATGAGCTTTGAAGGGCCTTCCCCACCGTAACTCGAGAGCATACCCCAGGTTCCAGCCGCAACTCCAGAAAAACCATGTGATTTCCCCCACGCCGCGAGATGAGGTTCGATTCTCCTGCAGTGTGTGCAGAGCATGTCTGTGTTCCCCATCAAACATGAAAGGAGATTTGATGTCCTAACCAAGGATCAAATCCTGGCTTATGGCAGTAAAGCACCAAGTTTTAACCACTGAACCACCAGCAAACTCTAATACTTTAGTAATTTACCAATAAACATAATTCACTAAACAAATCTTCACCAAATGATTCTGTTTTATAATTGCCACCTGGGCACAATCACTTGCACACATGGGCACACACTCACAACACACACAGTACCTTTGAAGTGCAGAATAGGTCTTCTCTCCTCACAGTGCCATCTGCAATCTTGCTTTGAATGGCCTGTCCAACCTGCTCTTCATTTTGGTACACATGAGCGCAGTCAATATGGCGGAACCCAACCTCTATAGAGAATGGGGTGAATTCCAGAGCTTCCATCTTAGCAACCTACATAAGCAACAAAGGTAGAAGTTGAATATCCACATAAGAGAATGCTAGGCACAAGCTTTGATCTTCCCAAGAATAAACTTTTTTCTGTGTCTTTGGTTAGTTCTGTATGTTTAGTGACGAACCCATGACAGCTTCCCTTAACATTCCTAATAGGTAATTAAATGGTCACCACCCAGAAATCCTTCAACGTCTGGTGATCAGTGGTTGATTGTTGATATCAGAGGAATGCAAGAGCACCTCTAGGTTCAGTGATTTGCTGGAAGAGCCCAAGGGACACAACAAGATGTTGTAGTTATGAATATGATTTATAATGTGGAGTTTGAAGCAAAATGAACAAAGTTACAATGTGCCTAGTAAAAGTATCAGAACCAAGGTGAAAGCTTCTGAGACTTCTGTCCACCAGTGAAGCCACACAGACCGAATACAATGAAAAAAATTATATCTACTCAAGGTGTACAATGTGATGTTCTCATAAATGTCACTCATGTTATTCACTAAACTGATTCTTTGCAACTCCATGGATAGCAGCACGCCAGGCTTCCCTGTTCTTCATTAATTCCCAGAGTTTGCTCAAACTCATGTCCATTGAGCAAATGATGCCATCAAACTATTTCATCCTCTGTCACCTCCTTCTCCTCCTTCTGTCAATCTTTCCCAGAATCAGGGTCTTTTCCAATGAGTCAGCACTAGCATCAGGTAGCCAAAGTACTGGAGCTTCAGCTTTAGCATCAGTCATTCCAAGGAATATTCAGATTTGATTTCATTTAGGGTTGATTTTTTTTTATCTGCTTGCTGCCCAAGGGACTTTCAAGAGTCTTCTCCAGCATCACGTTTCGAATGCATCAGTTCTTCAGCACACAACCCTCTTTATGGTCCAACTCTCACATCTGTACAAGACTACTGGAAAAACCACAGCTTTGACTCTATGGACCTTTGTTGGCAAAGTAATATCTCTGATTTTTAATACACTGTCCACATTTGTCACAGCTTTTCTTCCAAAGAGCAAGTGTCTTTTAATTTTCTGGCTGCTGTCACCACTCACAGTAATTTTGAATCCCTCAAAAATAAAGTCCATCAGTGTTACCATTCTCCCCATCTATTTGCCATAAAGTTATGGAAACAGATGCCATGAGCTTAGTTTTTTAAATGTGGAGTTTTAAGCCAACATTTTCACTCTCCATTTTTACCTTCATCAAGAGGCTGCTTAACTCCTCTTCACTTTCTGCCATTATTGTGGTGTCATCTACATATCTAACATTATTGATATTCCTCCCAGCAATCTTGATTCCAGCTTGAGCTTCATCCATTTATTTGTTACTTTACATAATAAAATGCACAGAGAAACTTTGCAATTGCAGTCACCCTCAAAGGAAAGCAAGTCAGTGTTCTTGACAGCCAAGTCTCACCACTTCTGCCAAGCTGGGAAAGAGATGGAAACGAGTGGAACACAGAGTAATCTGTAGGTGAGCACAGTCTCAGACCCTGATGCAGAGTGAATGCTGAATGCTTTCTTCCTTTTCATACGATTGATTCTAGCCTGGTTAGTGGAACAATGTGATGCTACCAGAGTCACACTGGACTCAATGACTTGATAATCCAAGTCCCCTTACATTCATGTTGCATCTGTCTACTATTTATATCTCAACCCCTAACCACTACTGTTACCTCTTCAGGTGCATAGGTTCCAAATCCCAGGACAGGAATGAAGTGGCCATCATTAAGTTTCACCTTCTGTCGTTTGGGATCCATTGCTGTTTCTTCTCTGAGTAAGTAGACTCTGATTTTTTTGTTCTTCTTCCTTCACAGGTTAGGAAAAACAGGAAGGTAACACCCCAGCTGCACCATCCAATGTTAGCAGATATATTGTAGGAGGGGCATGATTTAAACCAATACCCATTGAGTAAGAACAGGATTGAAATCAGTTAATTTATTTGCTTTTTCTTATCAGTAAAACCTTATTACATAATGATGATATGTGCTGAAAAATTACTGACCATATGTTAGACTAGAAATTTCCACAAGAGCAATATTTTTCATTTTTCTATTACAAAGTCAATTTCAATCAAATATCAATTGAAACAACTCTCTTACAATGAAAACATACACACATACACAAACCACACAACCTAAAAGTATTTTGAAAACATTTTTCAAAATGTTACCCCTTAAAAAAGGATCAAAATTTCAAATGAAAATAAATTTGCCCTTTTACATTTCCCACTAGCAAAACTATTTTGCTTGCAGATCTGACTGGTGAAATCCTGAACAGGATATGGAAACCAGACATTTTGGCAAAGTATTTATTGGAGGTTAATTATTAACAGCCTTAGGATACCATGTGCACTGTGCAAAGAAACTCTGAATGTTTATACCTTGTAGCTAGTTATATAACTTTTAGAGTACTCTCATAATGTAACTGATACATATTTTACATTATTTACTAAATGTTGCATATTATTCATAAAAGAAAAATCTATAAAAAAAAATAAAATACAACAAATTTGCAGAGTAATGGAAATTGTGATACACTGATGCAAGGGGATGTTGTGAAGACAAATAAAATTTAACATGTGCAGTGACATCAGCAAAATGGTGAGCTAGGAGGACTGAATTCTCCCAAGGAAAGACAAGAAAAGAAAGAGAGGGCAGCTGAAAAACCTCATAGGAGTTCTGGGAAACAGACACAGATCTACAGCATCAAAGTGAACAGGCAACTAGGAAAAATCCAGAACAGAGTGACAGGGAATTTCATTATGTATTTACTCACCAGTCTCCTACACAGTCAGTCTCTCCCATCAGGAAGCTTCCATAAGCCTCTTGTCCTTATCTGTCAGAGGGAATACAGAATGAAAACCACAATAACAGAAGCCTAATCAAACTGATCACATGGAACATAGACTCGTCTAATTCAAGACCTATGAGCCATGTCATCTAAGGCCATCCAAGATGGATGGGTCATGGGGGAGACTTCTGACAAAACGTAAGCCACTGGAGAAGGGAATGGCAAACCACTTCAATATTCTTGCCTTGAGAACCCCATGAACAGTATGAAAATGCAAGAAGATATGACACTGAAAGATGCACTCCCCAGGTCGGTAGGTGCCCAATATGCTGCTGGAGAAGAGTGAAGAAATAATTCCAGAATGAATGAAGAGATGGAGCCAAAGCAAATGCCTCGTTGTGGATGAGACTGGTGATGGAAGTAAAGTCTGATACTGTAAAGAGCAATATTGCATAGGAACCTTGAATGTTATGTCCATGAATCAAGGTAAATTGGAAGTGGTCAAACAGGAAATAGCAATAGTGAACATTTAGAGACTAATAGACTAATGTTCACTAATGTTCACTATAGACATTTTAGGAATCAGTGAACTAAAATGGACTGGAAAGGGTAAATCTAACTCAGATGATCATTGTATCTACTACTGTGGCCAAGAATCCCTTTGAAGAAATGGAGTAACCATCATAGTCAACAGGAGTCTGAAATGCAGTACTTGGTTCCAATCTCATAAACAATAGAATGATCTCTGTTCTTTTCCAAGGCAAACCATTCGTTATCACAGTAATTCAGGTCTATGCCCCGACCAGTAATGCTGAAGAAGTTGAAGTTGAACAGTTCTATGAAGACCTACAAGACCTTCTAGAACTAACACCAAAAAAAAGATGCCATTTTCATCGTAGGGGAATGGAATGCAAAAGGAGGAAGTCAAGAGATACCTGGAGTAACAGGCAAATTTGGCCTTGGAGTACAGAATGAAGCAGGGTAAAGACTAACAGAGTTTTCTCAAGAGAATGCACCAGTCATAGCAAACACCCTCTTCCAACAACACAAAAGAAGACTACACATGGACTTCACCAGATGGTCAGTACTGAAATCAGATTGATTATAGTCTTTGCAGCCAAAGATGGAGAAGCTCTATATAGTCAGCACAAACAAGACTGGGAGCTGACTATGACTCAGATCATGAACTCCTTATTGCCAAATTCAGACTTAACTTGAAAAAAGTAGGGAAAACCACTAAACAATTCAGGTTTGACCTTAATCAAATCCCTTATACAGTGGAAGGGACAAATAGATCCATGGGATTATATCTGATAGACAGAGTGCCTGAAGAACTATGGACGGAGTTTTGTGACATCATACAGGAGGCAGTGATCAACCACCCCCAAGAAAAAGAAATGCAAAGAGACAAAATGGTTGTCAGTTAGTTCAGTCACTCAATTGTGATGCCATGGACTGCAGCATGCCAACCCTCCCTGTTCATCACCAACTCTTGGAGCTTGATCAAACTCACATCCATTGAGTCGGTGATGTCATCCAACCATCTCATCCTGTCATCCACTTCTCCTCCAGCCTTCAATCTTTCCCAGAATCAGGGTTTTCCCCAATGAGTCCGTACTTCACATCAGGTGGCCAAAGTATTGGAGTTTCAGCTTCAGAATCAATCCTTCCAATGAATATTCAGGATTGATTTCCTGTACAATGGACTGGTTTGATCTCCTTGCAGTCCAAGGGACTCTCAAGAGTCTTCTCCAACACCACAGTTCAAAAGCATCAATTCTTAGGCTGTCAGCTTTCTTTTTTCTTTTTTCTTTTTTGTTAGGTGCTTATTTTATGAAACACCGCATTGATAGCTAGCCTGGTGTGATGGTCCAGCCAAACTGTTTTGTTTTATTTATTTATTTTTTTATTAGTTGGAGGCTAATTACTTTACAATATTATAGTGGTTTTTGTCATACACTGACATGAATCAGCCATGGATTTACATGTATTCCCCATCCCAAACCCCCTCCCAACTCCCTCTCTACCCGATCCCTCTGGGTCTTCCCAGTGCACCAGACCCGAGCACTTGTCCCATGCATCCAACCTGGGCTGGTGATCTGCAGTGATTTTGAGGCCCAAAAATATAGTCTGTCACTATTTCCACTGTTTTCCCACCTATTTGCCATGAAGTGATGGGACCAGATGCCATGATCTTAGTTTTCTGAATGTTGAGTTTTAAGCCAACTTTTTCACTCTCCTCTTTCACTTTCATCANAGTTTTCATTCCAATCCCAACTAAAGGTAATGCCAAACAATGTTCAACCTACCACACAATCGCACTCATCTCACATGCTTTCATAGTGATGCTCAAAATTCTCCAAGCCAGGCTTCAACAGTACATGAACCGTGAACTTCCAGATGTTCAAGCTGGATTTAGAAAAGGCACAAGAACCAGAGAACAAATTGCCAACAACCTCTGGATCATAAAAAAAGCAGGAGAGTTCCAGAAAAGCATCTGCTTCATTGACTATGCCAAAACCTTTGACTATGTAGATCACAACAAAGTGTGGAAAATCCTTAAAGAGATAGGAATGCAAGATCACCTTACCTGCCTCCTGAGAAATCTGTATGCAGGTCAAGAAGCAACAGTTAGAACCAGACATGGAACAACAGACTGCTTCCAAATTGGGAAAGCAGTACATCAAGGCTGTATATTGTCACCCTATTTATTTAACTTCTATGCAGAGTACATCATGAGAAATGCCAGACTGGATGAAGCACGAGCAGGAATCAAGATTGCTGAAAGAAATATCAATAACTTCAGATACACAGATGACACTACCCTTATGGCAGAAAGGGAAGAAGAGTTGAAGAGTTTCTTGGTAGTGAAAGAGAAGACTGAAAATGCTGACGTATATATAATTCAGCATTCAGGAAACTAAGATCATAGCATCTGGTTCCATCAATTCATGGCAAATAGATGGAGAAACAATGGAAACAGTAAAAGGCTTCATTTTGGGGGGCTCCAAAGTCACTGCAGATGGTGACTGCAGCCATGGAATTAAAAGACACTTACTTCTTGGAAGAAAAGCTATGACCAATAGAGGCAGAATTTTAAAAAGCAGACATTACTTTGCCAACAAAGGTCCATCTAGTCAAAGCTATGGTTTTTCCAGTAGTCATGTATGGATGTGAGAGTTGGACTATAAAGAAAGCTGACAGCTGAATAATTGATGCTTTTGAACTGTGGTATTGGAGAAGACTCTTGAGAGTTCCTTGGACTGCAAGGGCATCCAACCAGTCCATCCTAAAGGAAATCAATCCTGAGTATTCATTAGAAGGACTGATTCTGAAGCTGAAACTCCAATACTTTGGCCACCTGATGCAAAGAACTGACTCATTTGAGAAGACCCTGACACTGGGAAAGATTGACGGTGAGAGGAGAAGGGGATGACAGGGGATGAGATGGTTGGATGGCATCACTGACTCAATAGACATGAGTTTGATTAAACGCCAAGAGTTGGTGATGGATAGGGAAGCCTGGTGTGCTGCAGTCCATGGGGTCAGACATGACTGAGCAACTGAACTGAACTGATCCTCCTCCTGCCTGGAGCAGTGCAGTCTTGATCAGTTCCCAGTTACCTCCCTCAAACCAGACTGCTCACAGAACTCCTTGTGTATGATGTTCCAACTAACTTGAGGGCTACCTGGAGACTGGAGTCTGTTCCAGTTACCTCTAAACTCGAATGGAAGAACACCTGGAGTGGTTATTGCAGCTGCAGGGGGACTATACATATATAGTCCCTGGCTATATATATATATATATATATATATATATATATATATCAGGAACAAAGGAATAAGGGTTGAGATATAGACTAGACCATGTATTAATAAAACCCTGAGTAGAATTGGTGTGTGTCTTTGGGGGACATGGAGCATTAAGAAATAGTCAAAAATTCACTGGAGTCAGAAAGACATTCTCAGTCCAGTCAAGATACTGACTCAGAATTGAATTGAAACCCCTTAGCTTTCCTGTTGCACTGATCCCCAGGACAAGGAACATGATGAAAAAACTAATGAAGGAAAGTCATGATAAGGAACAAATCTACCAACAGTGA